TTGCCACTGCTTTATTTTTAACACTTTTTTCCAATAAGTAGTGTGCAGCTGTGAAAACATCAGTAAAGTTTAATGTCATAATATATTTGGTCATCCATAAATCTTGACGTTTGGACTATGTGAACTTTTTGAAACATATTTTGTTGTTACCAGTGTCTATTTATAATGGTCCTCTGAAAGCTTTCCTTCTGTATAGGTTTTATCTTTTGCATTTAACATATCTGCATCTTTCTCTTTTGAATGTAGTTGAAATTAGTGTTGCTATTTTTTATTTTCTCATTTGCTTGTCAACAAAAGAAATACTATGGCTAAAAATAGCAACTATTGATTTTAACTTCCCATTGTGGGAGTGGACAAGTGAGGCTTTTTTAAAACAAACAGGAACAGTGAATGCATTTCTGTTTCTGCCTTAACTATTTATGTAAACAGCTTCAAGATTTTCTGCTTCTGTTGAAGTATTTGACAGCTTGATAACAAAATGCGTATAATAATACAAATAACAGCCTGTGTTACTGGTGTGGTTGTTTTGGGGTTTTTTTTCCCCTGTTCCCAGTCTGATTAAAGTTGTAACTGATATGTAACACACTTTGAGGGTACATCTGTACTGCTATCAGCAGTATCGCTCAGACAGAGGTAGCTGAGCTAGCTTTAAATGAACTAGCTCAGATACTGGAAACTGCCTAGCTGTGGCAGCAGAGTTTAGTCCAGTCTAATTTCCCTGATGCAGTGAGGACAGGAGGATCTCAGGTTCCTTGCAATTCAGATATTTGCTATAAATTAAGAGAGCTGGTAAGCTATTCCTTTGTGGATATATCTTTGAAAGTCATGATTTTGTAAAGTATGATGTTGTATTGTCAAACAAATGTAAATAATAACATCTTCAGCCACTGCAGAGGGCTCATCCTAAAGGACAAACTTATTTTCCTTCTGGAACACTGGTGCTAATATCCATTCCTGTGTTTCAAGGTTTTCCCACTCTGGAAAGACCCTCACCAAAACTGCAGATAGTGGGGTATTTTTTCTATCCAGGAATGACTCACTACTTGGGGTTTGGGTTTTTGAGGGAGTATTCTTCCCCACCCCTCGAAACACAGAGGTTTTTTGCAATTTGCTATTTAACTATATTGCTTGTCTGCTAATATTTGCTGCTTCATGGTCGTTTGTAAACATTGGCTGAGAGATTCAAGGAAGATCTTATTCATTTGGTTTTTAATATCTGATCTGGTATTTTGATTTTTGATACTGTTGACAAGGGTTGCCCAAAGCTTTTGGAGTAATGTATTGAACAGCCAGAAACATATTATACATTCAAAACAGCTAAAAATTCTTTAAAGGAAAACAAAACAGTAACAATTCTCTGATAGTAGTCTGTATTTCAATAGATTAAGTCTGCTGCTGGGAGTGTGTATTGGTAGGGTTTGGAGTCTTTTTTCCCAGTACGTGAGGATAGCGTTACCAAAATTAACTCACCTTGGGTTACCTCAGTCAGTCACTACAGTTAACAGAAAAATGAATTAAATTCCTTGACATCAGTGAACATGTATATAAAATAACTTCTCTTTGAATTTTTGGTGATGGTTAAAGACAGCAATCAAAAGACAACACAGTATTCAATCAGAATAATTACAGGTTTTTAGTCATGTGTGTGTGGAGGTTCTGCCCAAAGAGAAACTTCCCACAAATACAGGGTCGTTCAAATGATTCATGGGCTTTCAGTACTTTTTTAAATTACAGAAACATTGATAATTTTAAAAAATAATTTTCTAAATTATGTACTTTCTCTCACATAGTTCCTCATCAGTCATTTGCAACACTGTTTCTTATTATCTGATACCTGTGCTTGTTGTAGTGGACAGTGGTGCCACAAATCCACCCTTATCATGAGCAGTAACAAAGAGAGTAATGGGGGGTGGGGGGTGCTGCTGCAGGGAATATTGTTACAGCCACTAGGTGAGGAAATGGTGAAATGGGAAGCATTCTCCTTGCCATGTAAGCTGTCGGGTTCTGACGTGCAGATTACAGAGCCTTATCTGCAATACTGAGTTACACCACCTCGAATATCTCTCAAGTTTAAACTGCAAGCTTTAATTGGTTAAAGAATATGTTTCTAATGCTAGAGGAGCTTTAAATGTGTTGAAAGAGGTTATAGGTGACTGAGTGCAAGGTGCCTGGAGTTATTTTTGAAATAAATTTTTGTAATCTTATATAGTTTATGTATTGCTGTAATATAACGCTACATACTAAGACTTCAGCAAATTTTCCCAGAGGTCCTTCTTGTTGTTTGTAATTCAGAGAACGAGATGAGCCTTAGCATCAGCATGTTGTGTGCTAGGCCTGACAATACCTTGTGGGTCAGAAAGTGTCATACTGCAGCGAGCCAGGTACGTACTGGTGGCAGGAGAAAACTGTGTTTTGAATAAGCCTTTTGACACGACGGATGATGTCTGGTACCTTTCAAGAAGCAGTGAGGAATTAGTTTGTGTAAGATTCTTGGGAGTTCAGGTAAAATGTTGCTTTCTAGAATGTTCAACTTTTTGCCTACTAGCCTGTTCCTTAGAGCAGGAGGTGTAAGCAGTGGGAGGAAATAAAAACTTGATGCATCTCTATTGACAGGGCTACTGCTGCAATCTTGAATGGTGGAGGAGTGTTGTGCAGGTGGTTGAGAGTGTTATGGCAGGGTCTTTGTTCTTTCTTACACCTGGCCTGTAGCCACAGAGGAGAAGCTGGAAGGTAGCTTGATGAGAGCAAAACTATTGTGCCTTCAACTTTCTTAGGCTTTTCTTTCTGATACAGTGCTGAATTCCTAATGCTATACTGATAAACTCTCTCTGGATGGATACTTGTAAAATCTTGACATGTTGCCTTATAAAGAATTCCAGCCAGTAAGGTGTTGACTGACTAACCAGTAGTATGCCATATATTTAATGGTGCAAAAACTCAGAGTATCCTATGTATTGGACATCCTATGTTTCTCTCCTGAGAGAGAGACAAACTGGTATTAATTCAGTTTCCAGAACATCAATATCAGTTATTCTTTTAATTCAGCTCGCTACCTCTAAAGTATCTTGTTCAACAGGTTTCTGACACCACTGATCACTTCAGGAAAGCATTCATATTTTTCCTAATTATTAAAACATGTTTTTCAATAATTGTATAATGTAAGCACATTGAGCTATTATTTTTTTTCCTAGCTAGGGCATGCAGCCTCAATTTTATCAACTTTGCTGACTGTAGGAGTAGTTCTTTTTATACTGCCTGAATTATTGCTAATAAAATCAAAAGCAAACTAATATGCTCCTAGCTATTTGAAGGAAGCTTTTGTTTACTTCATTCCTGTTGTTCTGATGAGACATTGTATCTGAGACTAACTTTTTCCAGTTGGGAACAATAATTTTTCACATTAAAGTTACATGTGAAAGTACTGTAGTGCTTAATTAGAGGGAAAAAATAGCCTGTCCAGTAAACGTTCTTTGTTGGTTTCAGTCAGCCCTGTTTCGTAACTCTTGGATGTTGTAATTCAGCTGGCCCGAGTTTTAAGTGTATCTTGCAGTTCGGCAGCAGCAGGGGGAGCACTGTAGCTTTATTTGGGGGCTCTCCTTGACCAGTTCCAGAGTTAGTTGATTATTAGCCCAGAACAATGCTGTTCGGGCTCAAAAATCAGCTCATGTTAGGAAATCTTCCACTTCTCACTCCCTAGGTGAGCTGGAGACATTATTCTGCAAGCTTTGCCTTGCTGCACTTCTGTAAAGCCCAAGTCTACAGATGTAGAACTATACCTGCTGCGAGAACATGACCACCAGGTTTCTGTGTCCTGCTGCAGAAGCGGGTCAGGCCAATTGGAGTCACAGTCATGAGGCTGGAAGGGATCTCTGGGCATGAGCTGGTTCGGCTGCCTGCTCAGAGCTGGGCCAGCACCGAATGCAGGCCAGGGCTTTGTCCACTTCAGTTTTGAAAACCTGCAAGGATGGAGATTCTTGCACCTTTCTGGGTAACCTAAGGCTTAATTATCTTCACAGTGAAATATTTTTCCTTATGCTGTCCCATGCTAACGTACTGTAGGTCCCTTCCAACTGCAATATTCTATTCTGTTCTATCGCCATTGTCCCTCGTTCCCCTGCCGTGCACCTCTGTAAAGAGCCTGCATCATCTCACGTTTTATAGTGTACTTTGACACCTTGCTCTGTTGCCTACCTATTCTACTGTAAAACAGTTGTGGATTTTATTTATTTCATAGATTTCTTACTGAAGTCTCTGGTTAAATATTTTTTGGTCAGTGATACACACTAAATAAAATAATCATCAAATGTTTCTATTTTTTTATAAACCATTGCATTGTTGGCTGGTGCTCAGTTTGTTATCCCCAATAACATGTACATCCTTGTATTTCCTGTAAGGAACTGCCTGCTGTATTACAAGTATACTGACCTTCTCTGAAACAGTAGTGTCGGATCCTTGTATGTGTGTCACTGTGTTGCAGCAAACATCTTGGACTGTTTTTTACTTAGGGAAGGAGTCAGTGTAGACAGTAAATTTGAAAATGCAGTCAAGTTACAGGGTGGAGAGCAAATAGCACAAAAATGTGCATGTGTACTCATAGTATCTTAAGCAGAAACTGATTTGAAAATTTAATTACTGTGCAATCTAGTATCATGTTGCTCAAATCTACATTCATGGAAATTTTTTTGCACCTTTATATTTATCTTGTTTTTACTTCCAAGTTAATTTAATCTTGTGCTGCGCATAATATGTCACTATGTTCCCACATGGATTTAAGATAAAAATACTATTTTCCATGTATCCACCTAGCTTTTCTCTAGTGAAAATGTGTTAGGTTATTGTGTTGCTGCCATATAATTATAGCTCTGTTACATTTTTGGCATTCGTTGAATTAATCCCTTGCATACTTCCTCAAAATAAAAATGTTATTTAGATAAGTTACTGACATAATAAAATAAACCTTTTAAAATTATATTCCTGTATGCATATGTGTGTGTAGGAAGAAGACCAAGATCAGGATGCCATAGGTGGAAAGAAGATTATTAACTGGACATTTCTTTCTCTTTCTCAAATTACTACTTTGTCACAACAAAATGTAGAAGGAGTTCAAAAGTAAGTGGCAATGATAATGACTCTAGAACCAATTTAATATTGAAATAAAAATTGTAGACTATTTGTTAGATTTCTCTTATGATGGTTACATCATTAATCTTTAATTGTTCAGTTAAATCACTGATATTTAATATGGTTCATGAAAGATAGGTAGAAATACTGTTGATTTCAGATCCACTTTGTTTTACTGTATTTCCTATATTTTAGTTTTTCTTCAACTCCTTTTTTTCCCACTGATATTTCACATGGATATGGTTTCTGAGTTTACAATAGTATTAAATATTCTGTAGATTAAATAGATGTAACTAAGAACAGGCCAGTACTGAGCTTTTTTTATGAGTCTCATTTGGTAACTTTTTTGCTAAAACATTTAAGGTTCTGTACTCTAACATGAGTTATTGGAAAATCAGAAAGGTTTTAAAAGTTCGGAAAGGGATGGAAAGCTTAAGAAGGTGTTAGTAGGTAGCCATTATGGTGCACTGGGGAAACAGGCGGCAGCTGAAGACTTTTGATGTAAGCCCATTTTGTCTTTCCTGTAGCAATACTCTCCCTTGTTATTAGTGCTTAACAGCAGCTGAATTTAGGAGGCCAGGAGTTCAATCTTAGAGTCTAGACTTATATTTTAAGGATGGGATTTTTCAGAAGTGCCCAAATTATTTAGGAGCACTTGTGTCCACTAGCAAATTCTAAGTGATCTGAAAGCCAAAGGACTGGTCCACTGACTAGTTTTGGAGGAGGGAGTGAGGGGGAATAAAAAATGCAACCCTGTGCCTCTGAATACATAAACCATTTAATGGAGACTAAAATATTATTCCTGAAATGTATTTTGTTGCTCTTGTTTGTCACTGTTCCAAGGTAAAAAATAAAAAGTTCTTTCTTGGATTTTTTTTCTTTAAAAAAACAGAAAGAAAATTTGTTCCCATCAAATAATTTAAAAAAAATTCTTTCATTTACTCCTCTACTACATAGAGGAGTTTTCTCCTCTATGATATGCCTCTTATTTTAGGGGAGACTGAAGTGTACGACTCACCAGAGACTAAAATATGCTTAAGTATGCAATTTATTGTGAAACTTTCTCATTAAGATTACGAAGAAAAGCATTGAAAGATGGTACATTTCTTCTTAGTCTCAGCTGAACACATATGTATTTATATATATACACAAACTGTATAAGTGGCTTGTCAAGTATATACTGCATCTGATTGAAAAGAGGGTAGTTGCAGGGTATTTTATGCACTCTAAGCAGTTTAGCAGCAGCATTGAAATTTTGTTAGTTTACCACAGTGCATCATGTCTATACACACAAGCAGTCTGAAGGCCACAGCTAAGGTTAGAAAATCAGAATAGATCTGATTCAGTATGAGAATTTTGATGTCCTGAGTTCCCATCTACCATGGAGTTTTATGCTGCTGTCCATCTCCGTAGGACTTGAGAACCTTCTGTGAAGGAAGAAATAGCAATCAGGGTAACTAGGAAGTCTAAATGCCCCATCATTTCCCAGTCACTTATACATACTGTTGCCAGTGACATGCCTTGCAGAATATTGAAAGGATGAGTATCAGCATTGTTAGCAGGATCAGAGAAAGTATAAAGCCCTGAGAAACTCTGATTCTGAAAACACAGAGCTGGCAGAAGCTTCAGACAGAGAGGATATGGACTGTTTCAAACCCTGGAAAGTTCAGCTGGCCACGTTCCACGTCTATTTCAGTACACAGTGAAGTGTTTTTAACTGACTTGCGTGTGTACAGCCGTACAAATTTGTCATGCAGAACAAAGGAATATATGTTTTAAACACAACTGATTAGATTATATGCTTTACTTTGTTAGCTATTGAGGCTTTAACTAAAAAAAAAAAACCCAAACCAACTCATCTTATTCATCTTACTTGACAGTGTATTTCTACTGGCTTAGTGAAAACCCTGAAAAACAAATGGTTGCCTATCAGTAGGTCAGAGATTAATGACCTTAGGAAGGAATGAGAAGTGGAGCAAGGGGGAAGACTTTGCTCTTTTACAGGGGACTTGAAACTCTGATCACAGCTAGCACCTGTATTGTCAGGTATAGGTAAGAAGCTAAGGATTGCTTTGATGTAAAACTTAACTACCTGAGACATGGCTGAAGTTATACTGAAAGAACTGCAAACTGAAGTCCTAGCCCTGATTCCGTCTCTTCATCTGGAAAAATGCACACAGTTATTATAAAAGACATAACTAATTCTATGTTTGGATAGAGTAGACATAAATGTGTCAGCAACAGCATGATCTCCTACAAGGGAGTGTATTTTTTTTCATTAGTTTTTCAAGTTAAAATAAGTGGAAAAATTTTCACAGCATTCCAAAAAAATAGGATGAGGCTCTTTTTAAATGTCTTGACCATTACAAAAGTGGAATTTAAACTTCTAAATATTTTAGGTACTTTCAGTAATTTTATATTATTTACATTAATTTTCAAATGTATTATTTCTTAAGAGACTGCATGAAAAATAATATTGAAAGGGAAGCATGATCTTTTTAGTACTGTAAAACTATCTCAATCAGAGTGAAAAGGTATTAGTAGAAAGTGGAGAATAATTGTTCAGTTTCATCCTACAAACCCCTTCCTGAACAAACACTGATTTTTCTTGGGATTTTCAGCTAAATTTCTCTTCGGGATTTTTAATGTTCTTATTTTTGTTATTTCGTTAGTCATATCTTGACATTTAAATAGTATCTGTTGAAACCTGTAGGTGTTTGTTTACTTTTTTCAGTTGATATGTCCTCTCTGGTCATAAACGTTCATATCTGGAAGTTGATGTAGCTAAGTTCCAGTAAGGCATATACATATATGTATAATATAACAATAGTAAATATAGATATAATTGCAAGCAGACTAAGTTAAACTTTGGAACCTGTAATTTATTTTTTATTTCATTATTTTACTCTGCAATTTCTTCTAGGAAGCTGGGAGAATTTCTGAATTTTAAACAATTAAAGACATCTTTGAAAGAAGCTATTTTGCTAGATTATTATACGGCAGGATTTTGGTGGGCTAAAGAAATGAACTTCAGTCTTATACAGCTCTCAGGATTCATGGATCTATTAAATTTCGTGTTGGAGAACCTCAGTGGTAAGTATAATTAAAAACTGTAAAATAAATATCTGAAGTCGAAGGCAAGAATGTTTTCCAGTAATTTTAATAAAGCAATATTTAATTACAAATAATTGTAAGAGTATTTATTCTTGAAAGTTGACACGTTATACCTTGTACCTGAAAATAATTCTTATTGACAGGCATTAAACTTTTGTTAGACAGGACTGTAGTCCTTTTAGCAGAATATCCCTCATTCTTTGTTTGTACAATATGTGGTACAGAACAGCCAGATCTTAAAAAGACCTCATCTTTGCTATGGTAGAACAGTTAATAATTGCAGTAGAGTGAGAGGAAGGAGCTCCTAAATTCCAATTCCAGCTGTCTCAGTGACTGACTCACTGTAGCCTTGGGCACATTTCTCCTCTGTTTGAGATATTCAGTACATCCTGTAGCATTACAGCAGGTGAATTACATTTATTTTATCCTTGGAGGTCAACTCTCAGGCAGCTTTCTATATGGCAAATGCTGCATTTCTGGCACAAAATATATTGGTTAACTAAAGACTGGTGAGGAAGTAAACTGGCATCACTGCCGAAGATTAAAAATGACAATGAAAGGACTATAGCTCCTGTGGCTAAAAGGAAATTTGCAACAAAGCATGTAGCTTGGGTCTGGCGGGAACAAAATAACCTGAAAAAGTGGTAGCAGCATCCTCTAAAACCTGTTTTTCAGACATCACAATGCTTACTTAACATTCATTTTGAAAGTGATTATTATGAGAAAAGTCCATCCCAGAGGAAGAGCAAAAGGACTCAGTGGTTCCATTCAAAGAGAAGATGAATATTTAAAATCAAGCTCATATAGTTATTATATTCTTTCATTGTAATTTAATTCAAGGGCCTTTCTGACTTGGAATTTTGACAGAACATGTACGTGCTTTATGATCATTGGAATTCCAGTTGTCCTTCCTGTCTCCAATGAGAATGTATCTTAACATATGCTAACTATATTAATATAACAATGGAGAAGAATGGAAACATGTCAGAAATTAGTTTTATGAGCCTGTATGTAATGCGTGTGTACTAGACAGGCTGGTAGCACAACTGCTATTATTAAAACTGACTGACATTTTTCAGGAATGTGATCTTAGTTGTGTATAGCTTTGCCAACCTTTAACTCTTTAAGCTGAAATTTTCCATAGCCGTGCCTGCCTCTGATTAATTTTTACATATAAAATTTCAACTAAAACAGTTCAATGGGCTCGCAGACAGAGGCTGGGGGAGGGGGGGAAGTAGTTTTGTGCATATTCATGTTTAATCAGTTACGACTGTAATTGTTTACCCTTTTTTAATATCTGTTTCTTTATTAATGGTTTGTTACAAGGGGCGTGATCAGAAGAACAATCTTTTACAATACATAAACAGCAGTAATCTTTTTTTAAAGATAAACATACTGTGCATCTCAAATTTACATACTATTCTGCCTGTGGTTATCTCTGCATAAGTTAGAGGCCAAGCTATAGCATCTTAAACACCCATTATTGTGATTCTTACATTATGAAGGTTGATCAGGGATTTTGTAATGGAATTTTAATGCACATTTTATTGATAAGAATAATGGCAACAGACAAAAATGTTTGGCTGCTTGTTGCTTTTTGAGTTTCTACGTGGCTCATTATGTAAATTCTCAAACTTCAAGAAGTCATATAATTAAAATAGGCCAAAAAACCCCACCCCACCCTGTCCTGTTTATACTTAGTTTTTGTTCTTTGGTATTACTTTGCAGACAAACATATGACCTTAGGAGATAATTTAAAAGAACTTGGAAGAGCAATGGCTGGAATAGGAGAAACTTATTCCGAAAGAAGTGGTGACTTGAATTTCTTCAGCATTGAGCAAGCCAAAGCAGTCATTGATTATTTCAATATCAGGTATTTATTTCTACAGGATAAATCTGGTGGGAAATTGGCTGATAAAATAAGTTAAGATTATTTAATTGGATACGTTCATACTCTGACAACATACTGCACACCAAACTTTAGAACATTAAAAAGAAGAGAGAACGCTCATGTAGCCATAAAGATCTGGCCTCAGTTGCCAAAGCCCAGGAAATAAATTTAGACTGGCAGTTTATCGAAATGTAAGATTATGCTGAAAAGCTTCCTTTTGGGTTTTGTTTTGAGTGATAAAAGGGAAAGATGAGAGTGGTGTATAGAGAATATTCTTGGTTTGCTGTTTAAAACATTCTGTTTTTAGATTACAGTTGAACAAAATCTAGGTCTTGTCTTTAACTTTAAGTATTTGTCTGGCCTTGACAGCTGTAGCAGACTTCTTTAAGTGGTTTAAAGTTATGTACTTTACAGAATTAAAGCTACGGTCATGTATGAATAATAACAACGTTGCATTTCAAAGTTAGCAGAAGTTCAGTATCTACATGAAAAGGTTTCATAATAGGTCTCAGCTTTTAAACAGAAACATGGGTAGAGATGCAAACAGCAGTAATTCAGTTATTTATCTGAGAAAATAATTAAAGGTCTGATAGCAACCAGTCACACCTCTCCATCTAAAGTCTTAACTATATGGTAACGCATACAGACCTTTCTCCACTGAAATGCCATAGCTAGGTCAGTGGCTATGCTCATATACTGTTCTTTCCAGTACACAATGGATGGAATGATTCTCAAGCCTTGTATCACCCACGAGTGTCAGAGGCAAGGAGATGGAAAACGGAAAAGGTATTAATGTACATTGTACTACATCTGTAGCCCTGCAGCCCATTTTCTGACCTGAATGGTCGTTAGAGGGAGAGATTTTTTGGCAGATGGGCATAAAAAGTGAGTAGGGTCATGACTGATCCATACATAGAATTTTCTGACTGTTCTTTTGTCTGGGAAAAGTTTAACAGGTCAAAGAGCGTTTTTTTGGAGTGTTTTCCTGGATGCAGAAAAGTATTTCCTCTTGAAGACAGGCAAAAATAATAGGACGACTAATAGCTTTCCAGTTTAGGGTACTCAGATTCAGACTGGGAATTTAAACCCATCACAGATGATTTATCTGACAATTGGACTATAAAGTTTGTCACTTTCTCCTGCTCTCTGATTTTTTTCCTTTTGTTTCTTTTTCATGGAAAATACAAAAAACTTCAGGTTCTTCCCATATGAAATGAGAACGTTGCTTTAAATCTCAAATTTCTGTAGTCAAGGCAAACCAATGTCCTGCCAGTTACTAGCCCTAAACTAAAAGGAAACTTGGCATTTAAGGTGTCTCACTCGACTTCTTTTACTTCTCCCTTCCTGTCCGTGCCTTTTGTATATTTATTTAGAACAAATGTTCTTTCCAAATAGCATGTCTATAGCTCTCGTGTAAATTATCCATTGAAAGATATCTTGTCCATGAAGCAATTCCTTCACAATGGCAAGAATTTCATCCAAGAGATTAGGTGCTCCATCCTACTACCGCTGAAGTATCATCTGGGCAGGAATACAATCAGGCCACAAGACTTTTGCAACAGAATGGTATTTTGGCAACCAAATATGTGGCTCAATTTATCACAAGTATGTGCTGGTGCAAGGTCATGGATGTATACACATACACTGAAATGTGTCATATGTGTCCAGTTTATACAACCCATTATTTCAGACATTTGAACATTTTTTCTAAATAAGAAATGAATCAGCACACTTCTTATGTGGATATGTTTTGAACTTTATGAACTCAGAAATAGGTTGGCTGAATTTTATTACAATTCAAATTAATGTATTGCTTCAACATTTTTTTCTTGTTCTTCACTTTCTTTGTTTAATTTTAAATGATAGGCCTATAGCTTTTTTTTCTACTCAAGATAGCATGACATGTTTTAGTTCAGATCACATTTTTACAGATGAGCTGTAAACCCTTGGGATTTATAATGGAAATGGGGACAAATGCTTAACTACTTTGGCACAAACTGTGCAGCAACTATAATGACACCTTCAGGTGTGGTGGAAGGTGACAGTTATCATCTTTTTATCTTGTCTCCTTGGGCAAACGCACATCAGCATAGCTCTTGACATTTTCTTTCAGGAAGCAGTGGAGCTAGGGAAGTATGTCATTGTCAATCACCTTCAGATTCTCATATGACATCATAAGAGGGTCTATTCTTAACAAACTTGCAAGAGTAATTAATTACTAAAAATGTTGGTCCAGAGTTTTTTAGTCGCTCACAAGAGATACAAAGAAAAAAAAATTTTATGTAATAAATGATAGAAGAAAAAACTACACTGTTGTTTCAAAATAAATACTGATGCATAATTTATGTGGTTTGATTTAAAGAACATTAAATGGAGGAATTCTTTCCTTGATATAGGATTAAGGGTGCCAGGTTGAACACAGTTCTGTTTAAAATAAATAAATAAATGGAATTCTGAAATGCCCAAAGTAATGACTTCTATTTTGGGGAATATTATAAATTATCTGTACCTGTAACATAGCCCATAAAAAATATAATAACATATTTAGAGAGGAAGAGCTGATTTTCAGCTGTAAATCTGGCTCCTTTCCAAGGCACTGGAATAAATAAAATTTAAAAGAAATTGAAATGTTAAGTTCTGCCAGTGCAGTTTGAAAGATACGTGTCTGTCTTCTTGTGTATCTTGTGCTGTTCGTAAAATATTTTTGTCTTTTTCAAATAATGCCTGTTAGAATTTTACCAAATAATAGTTGTGTATGTGAGGGGACACATATATTTTCATAAATTGGTGTGAGTCATTTCCAAGTTAAGTCCTGAAGTCTGCTTAAATGTAATTCCTATATCTCCACTGAAACATGGCAGGAATTATTTGGTGAAGTACTGCACTAAAAATGTATGGCAAATGAAATGGCAAATATTGTAACAACTTAATTGCCTATGTACTTTGAGTTTGGGGGAAAGGAACTTGTTGTTTATGGTAGCCAAATTTCTTCTGCGAGCTGGTAAACAGATTTTGTTTTTGACTAACAGTAGTTGAATGACAGAATTAAATGTAAATGTAGAATAAAACTTTTATGTGGCTCTTAAAGAGCCAAATGTTCAATGAGGCTGCCATAATACTTCTCACCAAATTAGGAAATGTATCTGCACATATGTACAAAAATGTCTGTGCCCATTTGGGTAAAAATGTATTTGAAAGTTTCACAGATGCATTTGACTAACTGCTGGAAGATGTACTGCTGTTGTGTAAGAAAGACAGACCATACCAACATTTTAGTCTCCTAATTCCGAGCTGCTTTCATGGGCTGGAAGAACTGGTGCTGCATGATAGCCAGCACTTTAGTACTGCTTAAATTAGAGCAAATGTCCCTGGTCTGCAGTATTTCACGGAACCTCTGGTACTGTGGCAGTGGCCTGCAGCAGCTTGTAAGTACCAGTGGTGATTCAGGGAAGGACAGTCAGCTAGAATAGCGTCTTCTGAGCATTGACTGGCTGGCTTCCCCATTACCTCCCAGCGCCCGGGTTGTATTTCAGACACTTAGGTCTCACTGCAGCAGCCTCTTGCTTCAGGTACAGCTGGCTGGTTGAGTCCTTCTGCCAGCCGTGCTGGGATGCAAGGCTGCAGGGTGGGAGAAAAGCCTCAGCACCATGGGGCAGCCAGCCAAGGTGGCACAGGCTGGCTCTGAGAGCCCTGGGCACTGCCACGTCTCAAAGAGCAGCCTGTGCTGGGTTGTGTGGCCAGGCACTGGTTTTGTAAACGTCTTTTCATATTTGCGTGATATCCTGCATCTAGTAGCAGTGTCTTTAGCATTAGCTAGATAATTGCATATATTGAGTGTAATAGCTACTTTCATAGACTCATAGAAAAATTGAGGTTGGAAGGGACTTCTGGAGGCCCACTAGTCCAAAGCCCTCCTCAAAGCATGCCTCGGTATTCCAGATGTGGTCTTGCAAGTGCCAAGCAGAGAGACATCGCTATCCCAGTTGGTGGCTCTCTTAAAAAAAGAACCACTGTCCTGTCCTTAGCCAGAAAGCACAGGAACCAGTTACAGATGTTCTCTGCAAATATGGCCATACCTTTCATGGGCACATAAGGCAGGAGTGTGATAATCTCTTGGAATAGTTCTTCAGCCTAGACTTGCTACAAAAACATCAGAGCTGTGTTTTTAATCATATGTCAAAATGACATGACAGAAGCCAGAAGTTCTTTATCATGACTTTAAGAGAAAAAGTAATTGTAACAGATGGACTGTGACAAACCAAACCTTTGATTAACCAAATGCCATATCATTGATCATTAGGAAGGGAACAAGGAAAATTACTTAAAATATGTGAAGAGGAAAGCCATACGTGTTTTCAGGAAGATAAATGTTTTTGGGCCATTGAGAAAAATCACTTTTAAGTTACTCCTGTTGTAATATACAAAACTCCAGTGTGTCAATCTAGTTTTTCAGTTTTCTTTAAGGAAATAATACACTGATTTTGAAACATGACCTTAAGAGAATAAATGCTTCCATTCTTTATTGTTTTGGTGTCCTAGGATCAAACTTGCTCCCTAGACTGGCAGCCCATCCCAGAATCTGAAAGCTGATTTGGCTTTGTTTCCTTCTTGTCCACTATTGCTGATATTAAAGGCATAAGTATCCTGGTGATAAGTGTTTCAGGAATTATTTTTTTCAGAGTAGAACTTTGTCTTCTCAGAGTTCAATTTCATGAGGACAAAGTGAATGTATTTTGAAGTATCATACTGTATTTTCTATGTCCATCTGATAGTAAATCCTGTAAACTAAAAATTATGCATATTGTACCTGAAGTTAAACAACCATTTCTTTGGAAAATTTGGAGTGTTACCATGCTGGTGAGTAACTCTTAGTTTAACAGAATTTTTAATATTGTTAACTTTCCAAAGATTTACAGTTGTAAGAGTACTATTTCCTCTTGTTTGCAGCTTATTTAAACACTATAAACTATATGAATACCTCTTCCACAGTCCTAGAGAAGAACTTGTGATAAGTAATAAGGTAAGTCATTTATATAGATGGAACTCATTATGCAGAGTTATTTAATGAATGCACTGTGGCATATGTTTCGTATTGCTCAAAGCAACTGCATGTCAACATTACTCCATTACTAATGTAAAATGGCTGATTAAAGAATACAAGTTAGGGTTTTGATCATCATATTCAGAATTAATTTTGGGTTTCAAAAAAGTGTAAATACATTGCTTGGTTAAGATGTTAGTTGTGTTAAATCAGGGATACTTATGTGTATGTATTTATAATTTGATGCATGTAATTTGAATTAGCAATGCATGAGTCTGACTCTATTTCAAAATCAGCAATCAAAATCAGAAAAACTTGTGTATCAAGCGCAGTCTGACCACAGTCCTAATATGTATGTATGCATGTATATGTACAGAGTTTTATTTCCACTGTAGCCACCAACAGTTAATTACATTGACTGTAAAGAAACAAGCTTTCTAGAAATTCAATGTTTTGAAAGCATTCAGTTAATAATAGTGCATTGGCTTGACTGTAGACTTTGTCATGTATTCTAATTTATATGTGAGAAAAAACATAGGAAAATGCAGTGGTGCAGGATGTGACCTTTAATCAAATGGACAGATTCAATTCATCAAATAAACCTTCCTTTAGTCTGACTCTGCATTTTGAGGATGTATGTTATGATACATTGAAAAGGATTTACATTTATAATTTAAATTAGGAGACAACTGGTTGCTCTGAGAGGCACAGTAGTGGAATTTATTTGATGGTCCTTACATTTTAGCTTATCAGTACACACTGAAGTTAAAGTTAATGCACTGGAAAATTTTCTTTACACTTGAAGCTGGCGGCTTGACTCTGTAAATGATGTGGTAAAATTTCTTCCCATGTTGCTTTTAAATAGCCATACTATAAAAACCAAAGAGTTTTCTCAACATGGATGCAAATATTTGGCAATTATTCTTATAATTTGTAAGGTGGGTTAAAATTCCAACTGTAATTAAATCAATGACAAAACTGTCATTACATAAGTAGAGCAGGACTTCAGTGTTACTGTGTTAGAGTAGGTTTTTTATAGTAGCTAATCAGATCCATGGCTGGTTACCATCTTCTAATTGGTAAAATTATTTTTAATGAGGCTTGGATTAAGTAATTTCTTGTGTAAATTTGGGTAATGTATCTTGTCAGTTGTAGACTAGCTTAAAAGAAATGCCTTTGTGTTTTCTTAAAACCTATTTCTGGATGGCTAGGGTCAGCGTACACTGTCCCAGCCAGAGAAGAGTGGTTGCTCTGCACAGTCTGTCTGCTGGGGTGTAGCACCTCTGCTGAAGGTACCACCTGAACTAGGGAATGGCAGGATTGTGTTTCTGTGAATTGCATTGATGATGATCCATCAAAGGAACAAGTGCGATCTACAATTACAACTGTCACAAAAACCTTCATAACAATTTTTAGCCATAACTCTTTTACAGCTGTTCCTTACTTATGCACTAGTTCAGTTTAATCCATGTTTTGTATTCTGAGTCCCACGACAAAGAGTCTTTAATTTGTCCAACCACACTACAGTGCCCAAGAAGATCAATACTTATATTCTACAGTTTATTTTGATAGGGTGATACATTGTTCTTCAACAAGTAAGTTTAAAGCATCAAAGCTGCACATACAAATTTATGGCACTATTTGCACTTGCTTTATGTGTTAAACTGCAATGAGAGGTGAACCCAGCATAGACTTCAAGTTCTTTTGCTACCACTTCGTTATATTTAGAAATGCTTATCCATAAAGAAGATCATTACTTTCTATGCAGTCCCTTAGACAAAGAGCTCAAAGCCTGACAACCATGATGTGGTTTGGTGCGTATGGCTATGGCAGTAGCATGTCTGGAGTCGCACGCTCTGCGGTGCATTTGTTCAGGGAACAGAATAGGGCAGGAGATTGACTGGGAAATCTGCATGTGGGAAGTAGGTGATAGATCTGTGCTAAAAGGCTGACTGCTGTCTTGCTATGTAAATCAGTGTCTTACCAAAAAGAAAAAAAGCTTGTGCAGGCACATGGCACACCACAGCTGGATGTGATCCTTCCTCTAAGCTGAGTGCTGCTAATGTCTTTAAAATGTGCTGTTTTCTTTTAGCTGTAGCGATAAAAGTCTATTCTTTTGGAATGAGGGACTGTAAACTGTAGCGGACAGATTTGCCCAGATAACAAGAACCATGGTGTTCTAAGAGCTTAATTACAGTCTTATCTCCTTTTGCAAATGAAAACTTTGAGACAAGTCAGTGAAATGACTTGTTTCAACTGAAATTATTTGCTTCGACTGAAATGACTTGCTTTAGCTCAGTGAGTAAATTTGTGCTCCATGTGTGCTGAAAGTATTACCTACTGAATAAAAGTCCAGTCGCCTAATGAGAAGACATTGATTCTTTAAAAGAGATGCAGCTACAACAAACAAGAGCAGTTCTTAGTATTGTAATGGATATCCTTTTAGAGAAACTGCAGTATGTGTTTTCCAGGGAAATCTTATAGAAATGGATTGTAAACTCATTGGACTATTTTTTCTCCAGCACAGGCAATTATACAGTGTTCTCAATTGGGTTTCCTTTTTGATCTTTTGCTGCAGTTATTTCCAAATGACCCTGTCATTTCCTGTGTAGAATAAAATCAGACAAGAAAAGGGAAATGACTCAAAACTCTGTTAGATTATGCATACAATATCTGTGGCCATGCCACTTAACAAAATTTAAGTTCCTTAAATGTGGCACATAATTAACGGAGCTTCACAGTCTGATTAATATTCTGCATTTGATGCAGCTAGCATAATAGAACCACCTTTGTAAAATACAGACGGTATTTAAGTCTTATTTTAAAAAAAAAAGTAACAAATGCCTGACTAATCTAAATACATTTTTACATTGATTAAAGCCTTTAAACCAAACTGCCTGAGATGATCATATTGCCTAGAAAAAAAAAAAAAAAAAGGTTAAAACTGAAAGACATGAATGCCTGGTTAGATGATAAAACACACATCATAAATACTGCCAAAGTAGGTTAGATGTAAAATTTAAAACTTGTCTTTCCAGCTATCAAATAGCTTAGTTTTCCTTCATCCCAGATCTGCAAAGACCTATATACTATGTATGCATTAATACCTGTTAGAAAATATGATGGTACAAGAAATTACTGAGAAGTGATAAGATTGCCAAGTAAATTCCTCGTTTGTTTGGGGTTTTTTTTCCTGTTTCTATTATGAGCAGTTCCCCACATTTAGAATGATTACAGAAGCAGCAGTGATTTAGCGGTTCTGTGGCTATGATCCAAAATAAAATGCATGCAGTGCTAACGTACCAGAGTTCTTCAGGAATATTGTTGTTAAAGATGCTGTTTTTTTCCTTTTGCCTGCTCTGGAGGTTTTACTCTCTAGCTGTGATTTAGTACACCTATATTAGCCTGCAATTTCAAAGAAAGCAAAAGGAATACAGACTAAATCTTGATGTGCAGGGATTCAATGGAGCAATTCCTATTAACACGTCAGATCTTATAACAAAGGTTTAAATTGTTAATACTGAATTGTTTTTACTCCTTTCTGTTTCTATGTTCAGTTAATTTAGTTTGCTTTGATAGGATGATATATTACAGCATGTCTTGTATTTTCTTTCTCACATTTACAAATTGTACCTTATACTGCAGTTCATGTTTTTGCTGCTCTCTGTTGTGTATTTTTGGATGGAATGAGGCTAAGGTCTTTTGGGATTATGTCTGCTTTGAAACATTTCCTAATAAAAATAATGTGGTTGGTAAATTTAGTTTTATTCCTAGTTGCTTTAGCCAGCCTGATGGAGTAATCTGCTATTTTATGGCCCAGATGACTAGCTAAGTTTGACTTCTTGAAATAGTAGTGTACAATGTAATTTTCTTTAGAGATGTCATAGTGGGTCAGGTTGCAATAAAAATATCGAAGATTAAGTTTAATGGCAGTGCAGATTCAGTATTATAGCAGTCACTAGATATCATCCTCTGTACTTAGAGTTACAGAACAGTTTCCATTAATGCCTTCTTTCCATGTGCTCCTTGCTTGCTGAAACATTAAGCTTTCGGACTACGTCTGGTCTTTATCCAATTGTGGGTTGGGTTTTTTTTGAAAGTTTGAACAAAATCCCTTCTGTGTTTGAATTTAAGGGGGTGGATAGGAAGAGTATAATATTTGAAAGCTAATAAAGCTTTTTTCTGATGGCAAAAGACCTGAAGTCTGGGACTTGACTTTGATATCTAATCCTCATTAGGTGTTGCGTATTTAAATTGGTTAATCAATCACTGTTTAAACAAATTTGCTCAATGATTTCTTGAGAACTGCATTTTAAAGATGTATGAAACCAGAACATTTCCATAAGCATATCAGTTCACACTAGAGAGATTCATTCCCCAGCTAATGGAGTGCATGCTTTTCAAAGCTTGAAGGTTTCAAATATTTGTAATGCTTAAAAACCACTGAGTTGATTTTCTGTAGCTTTGTTTTGCAAATATCACCATGGCAAAGACATCAAGACTACTTTGAAGGAAATATGAGCATAGGACTGGAAGGGACCTCTTCAGTTGTCAGCTCTAGTGCCGCTTTCTCATAGGAAAACATATATAATCCTCTTCAGAAACTTGTCAAACTCTGGCTTAAAAAGTTAAGTTTTTTTGTCTTTGCTGTTCCAGTTAGAAAGCTGCCCTGGTGCCTGGTTTCTGTAATGGTTATAAAACTTCTAATTTCCAGTCTAGGTGTATTCATGACAAGCTTATGTGAGTTTGTCCTTGTGCCAATTTGTGCCAGTATTGACCTTTACTTCTTATTCCATCCCCAGTGTTTACTTTTCTAGTGTATAAAGAGACAGCAATCTTACTGTCAGCCTTCATTTAGCTAAACTAGAAAAGCCAGCCTTCTCTAATCTTTGCTTTTAGGGTAGGCTTTTGATACATGTGTTCTTACACACGTACCAGCCTCTAGTTATCCTGTTGGCCATTTTCTATAATTGTTCCACTTTAAATCAGTTTTGTTTGAACATCAGTGCCCAAACTGCACATAATATTGTTGCTGAGATAAAAGCAAGGCCTTGTACAATATCAATAGTGCTTTCTTGTTCTCTACTGGGAATAACCTACATGATAGGTCCTAGAATCAGTAGCACATTTTATACCTGTATCATGTGGCTGTCTAGTCATAGGTCTGCTATTCTGATTCTCCTTTATTACTGTATTTTCCAGCTGAGGTACTCCCGGTGCACATTAGGCTTTAAAAAAATTATGTCCCTGCAATGTCACCTTACAATTTGTCATTGAATACAAGAGTGAATATTCTTCAAGGTCCTTTGGTCCCATCTGTGTGATATTCCTGCCCTCTCATGAATTGATCACATCTCTCATATTTCTTTTGTCTAGAAAATTGGTTATCTTATTAAATAAACTATAAAATTAGTCTGGCATCGTGTATCTTTGATAAACCAATGTTGTATTATATACTATTTTTTATTTCATTTCCATGTCCTTATTTATTTTTTCCCTCAAAACATGTTTCTCAAGCTTTTACTACTATCAAGATCAAAACTACAACTTCAGGAGTAGGTTCATTATTTTATGATTATGAATGTTTAAAACTAGCAAACTGGTACTTGATCATTTAATGTCTGAGGGGAAATTTCTGATGTACGTTACAGAAGTGTGTAGTACCCAAGACCGGATTACTGAAGTAAACAGCTGGAGAGACAGTGAGTTTTGTGGCAAAAATTGCTGATATTCAGTTCTTTGATCTTGAAGTTTGCTATGGCTATAACCAGAGAGATCTTGAAGGACTTGTGGTTAGTCTGAATGAAAAGTGGACTCCGTTGGAATTGTATGCATTATCACGTGAAATATTTTAAGCCTATCTGGAACAGTGGAGACCACTCTTGTTTTTCAAAGGCTGTCTTTGGTATACTCAGTTACCAGTAGTGGAGATATTCTGACCTTGAGCAGTTATGCTTCCATGTAAGTCATATGCTGATGGTCTTCTACAGCTGTTTTAACATTCCTGAGTTTTGGTAGCTGAACTGTGCTGCCCTGAAACTCCAGGGTGTTAGTAGAATTTATAAGCTGGTGCTGAGTGCTTTTGCAAATCTTCCTTTAGAGAATGATTGACAAAATCTTTTAAAAATTATTTTCTTAGGAAACATCAAATACAAACAAACTTGCTTTTTAATTCAATAACATGTGTGAAGTAATGAGAGTAAGACTTAGGGCAGGAAAAACTAAATAGCTGACATGTGCTATGCCTTCAGTATGCAGAGCACTATGGTTCTGACCCAGCCAGCGTTTAAACAAGTGCCTCTTTCTAAGCACTTGGGAACTTTTATTTCAATGGACCTATTCATGTACACAGAGTTAAACTGAGAAGTGGCTGCAGTGACATTGCTCAGCACGCTGGAGGATGAAAAGCTGAAGACGTTAGAGCAAAAAAAAATTTGAAACTCATAATAACTTTTTATTGCAGTTGTACAGTTGACAAAGCATCACATTTTTTGACTGTGTGATGTTAAATAAGAGAGAGAGGAAAAAACCCTTGTATTGCTGGCAGTAAAATATTTCTGGAACTCTGCAGGAATTAATATATACACAGATGTGCTTCCTGAGTTGTTTTTTATTTATTTAGAAAGTGGCTCGATGTCTTTGTGTGTGTGTGTAAACTTACATAGTTCTGATAACAGCAGTAATAGCTTATTTATTTGCCGGAATGCAAGTCAACTAGGAGTTGTAGGTATTGACTGGAAGGACAGACAGCATGTTTCTGCTACTCATCAGAATGTTGTAAGATCCAAATGACTAAGTGCTGTAGAATGTTGTACACATTTAAAAATATTTATCAACCCATATGTAAATTTTAATGGGAGACAATGAGATTGGCAGAAATTACTTGGAAAATTTTAAAGTGGTTAAGTACCTGAAGGTAGACTGTTAGGATATGAATTTTGTTTTTCTTTTCTAGTATTCCTGAATACCTTACTCTGTTGATGCCCTTTGGGAGTTCTTGCTGTTTTGTTTGACCAGCATAAAACAAAATAATTGGAGCTGAGCAAACATCAGTATTTTTTTTCTTAAACAGAAGATTCTGTGATTTTTGCAGTTTGATTTAATTCCAGTTTAAAACAAAAAATAAACACTTTTAACAGAATTGCTATTCTTACATATCTCTGTTTAAACTCCCTCAATCCAAAGCAGACCTTTTGAAGGCTGTTTCAGAGCCCGAGCTCCATCCTGGCGCCATACAGCATAGTTGCCTCTGCTGGGTCTGCGATGTGGCCCTAGAAAGCAGGTTGCCAGGTCAGCTAGCGTGGCAAACTCTGTCAGACAAAGAGCTTTGTAAGTAAGCTGGTGAGAACCAAGTAGGCTGCTGCTTGCATGTTGGTAGAAAGTAATTTGCAAACTCCATTCTAATATTTTAGGTAGTTCAAAGAATAATGTTGGTAAGGAATCTGCCAAAAAAAAGAGGGCACATTTTATTTTAATTATCCCATTGCATTATGTCCACTGCAGAACAATACTAGTTTTTGTTAAACTCTTCCATGTAACATAGCATGGATCAAGAAGTTATTCAAGAAAGTACTCTGCTTCATTTATATATATATTTTTTTTTTTTTTTTAATTGTTTGCCAGCGGATACCATTTGGGTCCTTGCTGCTCCAGTGTGACTTACTGGAGACTGGTTGGCCAGAGCAATTGCCCTATTTCTAAAATTTCCAGCATGATCTTTGTTAATTAGCAGGCACAGATCCATGAACTATTTTTGTACCCCCTACCTTTATCTGCAGCTTTTCATCATCTTGAAGATTAAATTGTATACATAAAAGTAGCAGTGGAACAGACAAGTGATGCGATATTTCATGGGACTGTATCCCCAAGGGTGAATATTTATGTATAAAATTCATACAACTTGTGATCTTATGTTATTAATAACTTGTTGACCTTATTAATATAAATAAACAGCATAGCATTTCTTTACTGTCATGTTTTGTAATCAATATCCATTTTTATAAATTTTTATCCTTGTAGTTACTGTTACAGACAAATGTATTCGAAGTTTAAATAAGACAAGTTTTGCAATCCTTTAAAGTCCCTTTTTAAAGTGCACCGGAAAGTTTGTATGTTTTCTAATTTCACTTTGGATTTTACAACTTGTCGCATGATACAACATAAAGTATTTTTACTGAACATTGAATCTGATGTATTTGAATATTTAATTCATAAAACATTCTTTTGATTTCCTATAAATATGCTAAGCTCAGCAAAATGCACTGTTACTAATTAGAAAGCTGAGTTTTATAGGATGTCTGGTTGGTATGTGAGGTAACTTATATAACTGCTTAGGCTTACATTTAATAAACCTTAGCTACGAAAATTGTTTAAATTTCAAAGAAAAAATAATAAATAAAATGAGGGCATAGAATATTAATGTGAACTGTGCCTTTATTTTTTAAAGCATTCAAAGTTAAATAGTGGTGGTCTGTTAACAATCTAGGGCTATTTGGCAAGTCTTTAAACTTACTCAATAATCAAAACATAAAAGGACAATGGAAACTTTTTACAATAAAAGAAAAAGGAGTTGAGTGCAGAAACCAAACAGATTATTCTCTGCTTTTTCTTGGTAAGGAGGTGAACTTTATAGGAAGGGCAGCAAGCTCTGAGTTAGGGTTGCCTTTTCCTGTCTTTGTTATAAATTACATCTGTCTGTGAAGAATCCTCTCCGGTTACTTCATGGATTATGGTTACGGGGGAGGTGTGTGTGTCTGTCTGTAATGGAGCAGAGAAAGACAGATTGGAGGGAGCCTTCTTTTAATTTTACTGGGTTTTGGGCGTTTTATTTCACTTAAGAAATGGCAATTCTTTGCATTAATTTGCCTTCCTTACTAAATATGTGGATGGATAAAATTCCTAAGATCCCAGCTGTGTAAATAAAATATTAACAAAACAACTGTTTTCTTCAACATTTGTATTATTTGTTCTTTGTAGCTTGCTAGACTTCTGGAAGACTTCACCACCATTTAGGTTCAGTGTAATCATTCAAAATGTTTTTGCTAGGGCTTAAATAGGGAAAACATTTGGCAAAGGGATGGACTTTATCCAAAGCATTATGCTTGATTCTTTCATGAGAGTCTGAATACACTCAACAGTATTATGAGGCACCAGAAATGAGGGAAGAAGCTGCCAAATGGTGCTGGAAGGAGAGTCATATACTTAGGCTTAGTGTGCTCTTCATGTCCTCCTTTCCCTGTACGTAGTACCTAACAAGCTGAGGTAGCCTATGTGCAGCGATGCAGATGGGAGAGAAAGGGGCCATGACCAAGTTCCTATAATATTTCTTTCACCATTTGATCCTGAAGCAGGAGTCGTTTACAGGTTGCTAGTAACAAAGCAGATGGGGAAATTTTGTCCTTCCAATCCCCTCCTTCAGTGTGGGCTGATGGCCAACACCCACTAGCTCCAGCCCGCTGAGCTTCACTATCTTGTTCTTCTGTTTTGGGAAATAGGTTCCTATCTGTAACTTTCATCAACCTTAACTAACCTCATGATTTGGGAATCTCCCTCCAATCCACTGTATTGCTTACAGAAGCTAAGGCTTCATTATGAATTTCCAGCTACTGGACTCAGAAAAACATCAGATAGGTAGACTATACTGTACCTCCTCAGAGTAGGCTTGAAAAGCTGGAGTCTTTTAGTGTGTTTCATGATTAAGACTATTATCTGAAGTATTTTATGCTTTGGCTTCCCATTGCACTGTTGAAAATTTGGTAGTGAAGTCATCCTCAGTCTCCTCTTGACCATCTTAAAACAGCTGAGGAGGAATACCTGATTGTTTATACCTAAAGTTTACTTTTTCTTATAAAAGTGGGCAGAATCTTTGGCTGACCTTATGATGGTGAGGTTGTGAGTATGAACTTTATTTGCCTTTTTTTTTTCCAGACTGATTTCACCCTCAAATTTTGCCTTTGTCTCAGATTGCAAAGACTATGCCAGAGCCCGCATAGGTTCTGCAGAGTTACACTGCAGATGGTGCTGTGTCCAGAGTAAAACTCAAACAAACATGGATGTTTTTCAGCTGAAATACATTAACATTGTGCTCTCCACTTTTTATGATGAGTAGTGCTTCTGATATTTTTGGTTGATTCTAAAAGAATCCAACAATACTTTAAAAACATATTGCAAAAAATATTGTTACTGCTGTCACAGCACAGAATATTTTGCATTAATTACATGCTAATACATGTATTACTCTGTTTTCTTAGAGTTTATGTGCTTGGTAAAAGTTTTGTTGTCTCTTTATTCTATTCAAATAACACTACACAATATGCAGTTGCTCTGTAGTTTCTTTTGACTGTGCGTATCAAATTTGGCTTGTCAATACAGTCTAAGGAAATGGCACAGATTCTAAGTGATAAAGATGGATGTTGGGTGCTGCATTTATAGCGAGGCCATCCGAATATGGTCTCAGAGTTGTGAAAACGTCCCATGCTTGAAAAGTCTTGAATTTTGGATTGATCAAGGCTGCAGGCAAGTTTCAGGCACTAACCAGCTGGAATTCAGGTCTGTATCTTTACATTCACTGAGTATTGTGTGTTGTGAATAGATTTTCAATACATTTCAACCACTGACAATGTGTGTATACCCCGTGTATTACTCCTGTTTAATAAAACAGAGGAGTGATAGGGATGTTCCTTAGAACTTATTCTACTTTGAATATCTGCCTAACATTCTCTCAGAGTTTTTCTTAGCATTCATTTTGTATTCATGACACCTATTTATCATTTTATTCTCTGTCAGTTATAGTCTTAATGATTTTCATTTGTTCTAAGGGATACTTTGCCAGCTTTTAGTATTCTTCAGAAGTTAGGATGTAGTTGAAGATTTACATTTTCAGAAATGTTAAATTACCTGTAATGATCATATTTCAAATGAAGTGTTTAACCCTCACTTAGGCTTGTTGCAGCAGACTGTTTTCAATTTTTAGCATTACTGTTGTCCCTGCGCCTTGGTAAAAAGAAAGTGATAGCTAGAGGCTAGGTTGTTGACTTTTTCTGGTTTTGTTGGGTTTTGGTTTTTGTTTGGGTTTTGGGGTGGGTTTTTTTTTGGGGGGGGTGTTTAGTTTTGTTTTTTAAAAGTTATACCAGCAGGACATTGTAGTGCCCTTCAGTGAGGTTTCTAAAAACATCATTACATTTCTGTCCATTTTGAGAATGATCCCTTGAGTCTCTTGACAGGTGTATGCATGCTGGTACGTAACTCAGTACTGAACCATTATGTTCTGTTTAATAATCACATTTTGTTTGAGAAATCAAGAAATCATCAAGATAGAACTAAGGAACTAAACGTTACTCATTTTACATGACAGAGATTTTATCTTTTGTCCCTCCCTCCATGCTGCGCTTGCAAATATATCTCTCTGAATTACTGAATGTAAAAATAATATCCTTTTCTTTGCAGCCCTTGCACAGCAAAACACTGTAAGAGAAGTTAAAGAAAGGATTTCAATCTTATCTCTGTGTTTCCTAGATACTGCTGGCTTGACTTCAGTTCCTATTCTTGTTATTCATACTTGCTATATTGCAGTGTATTTAATTGTCTCTCTTTGTTCTGATCAATCCTCAGTTAAATGGGTAAATAATAAAAGAAAGAGGGTACATAATCATATTACAAGAAATAATTGGTCAATCCAAGCATTACTGGATCTTTGTAATGAGCGGAAAGAACATGGCTTTGGTATCAGATAATAAAGGCCAAGCCTTTAAAATTGACAACATAAACACGTTGCTACATTGACACTCTTTTTTTGTGAATTTAAATTACAAATTATTGTGTATAGTCAGAATCAGAGCAACTGAAAAGTCATACAACATGGATAGACTTTATTAATTTTGGATACAAATGACAGACATTAGACAAGCTTAGAAGTCTGACAGACTAGGAGAATCTTAATATTTAACAAGGGCAAGATAAAATGAGAACTTGTCTTGTGGATTTTTTTTTTTTCTTTCATAGTAGCAGGAATATTACATAAACTAATAAGCAGCAAACCATATGCATTAGAATAAAATGCAGAAGTCTGCAATAAGGGAGCTTATTTAGGAAACTGGAAAGTTTAAAACCTGTATGTTAAATAGCCAACAGGCCATGATATATTAAACAGGGGACTGTGGGTTGCTCTGGGAACTGGGAATCAGACACTAAAGTTTTTCAGTACTTGGGTGCCATTTACCGGTTTGCAGACTGTAACATGAGTTGATCTTGTTCCACTTTGTAGTGAATAAATACTATTAAAAAAACAACCTGTTTTCTTCCTTTGCACTTATCTGTCAATGTACTGCCAATTTTAGAAGCAAAATTAATTGTTTAATCAAATAGGTGTCAATAACTCCAACCTGTACAGAAATACAGAATTTTACTTTTTAATTTCTATTTTCCCTTTTTTCTTTCTGACAAACCTAATTGGGGAAGAATGGATGAAGAGGAAAGAAAAGGTAGCATGACTGACTGTTAACAAACTAAACCCTGCTCTGTGGAATTCAGTTGTGTAAAAGGTCATATTTATAGATTTGTGCCACTTACACAATTCTCTGTGTCAAGTCCAGTAAGATTAATATGGTGGGAGAGTGAATAAAGGTTCCCATTAAGAGTACACTGAACTTGCCAAATGCTACAAGAAACAGTAGTGGTGCAGCGGGGTATTGCAGCTTCATTTTTACCTGGGGGCCACACTGACCCTGTCAACTAGTTCCTTGTTACTACCTAATTTACTTGGGCTGCATAAAAACTTCAGTGTGACAATAATATTCTATTGAACTCTGTCTTCAGAGAACAGTAATTTCTACTCATTGATGACATCTTGAATTTGAAAATTAAAGAAATTGTTGAGATGGAGACTTTTGGACAGATTCATCATGAAATGACTTTTAGTGTCTGAGCTTCTTTTTCTGCTATTAGTTACAAATTTTGAGTGTGCAGTTAGGAGTTACAATCCAATTTGGGTATTCTCAGTCCACTGTACCTCAAGTAATTTCAGGGGATCTACTAGGATTGTATCTAAAATAGACACTACATTACCATGGTATGTAATGGTAGCAAAATTAGGCCTCAAACTGAAAATTATTAAATTCAAAAATATTGTTGAAAAAATACAAACTTCCCATATTTATAGTTCACAGAATCACACAGAATCACAGAATGTTAGTTGTATAAAATACTGCTATAGCTTTGTGATGTGTGTGTAAGTAGAGTCCGAAGTGCTATATTAGTTCATCTTATGATCATTCTCAAATAAGACTTCATATTAAAAACATTTTAACTAATTTTGCTTTGTATTTTCTGTAGTAAATTAAGGAGCCTAGTTAGTTTTCAACATTAAGAGAAGGTTGCTTTAGTATTTCTGCAATATAACAGGAATTATATTTGTTAATATACTTCAGGAGCATTTTAATTCTAATCACACAGATGAAAGGAAATTTCAAGTAATGGCAAGTAAATTTAAATTACACAACAGTAAAGACTTTCATACCTTTGAAAATATTTCAGCACTGACTTTTTTTTCACTCACTTTGATTATCCATGATCACAGCAGCAAAATTCTATTGCTGTTGCCATAATTTCTAAAGCATAACTGTGCTAACATGAAATATGTATATATAGGTACATTTGCCAACTTGTTTTAATTTTTTCATTTGTTTTCCACCTCATGTACTGGGAGGGGCTGCTGATCATTACACTGGCTGAAGGAAAATGCAGAATTGTTGCAGGAGAAAATGGAGGTATGCAGGCAATATTTGCAGAGAAAGTAAGCTTTTTTACTCTGATTTCAAAGTGAAGAAAATTAGATTTCCATCCCATAAAACCTGCCTCTTAGACCTCTGGGATCCCTCAGTATGCTAGCCAGCATTTGCTGGCCATGCACTTGCAAGTGTCTCACAAGCACTGTGTAAGAGGGTATTTTTATGCCATGTAAACTTGCCAGCATTGCACCCATTGGACGTTGGTCTGGATCAGGCCTCACAAGCTCTGTGTATCTAGTAATCTAGTTCATATAGCTTGGCTCCTCCTGCAAGCAGGGTCTCAGCTAAGATAAAAAGCTGCAATACTTAGTGACCATGCAAGGGAGGAAGATTCTGTCCAAGGAAGCATTTTCCTACCCTTCTCCAACTTGATGCCCTCCTGTGATGAGACTTGCCACCTCTTCAGCAGCACCTGCTTATTGTAAAAATGAGAAGGAGGAACTAAGCACCACTGTGACTAAAAATAGAATCCCCCCTTTATTTTTTTATTGCCGCATTTAACCTCTGCTCTTTTAATCATAGGCACAGCAGGAAAAGGGGATGTGCTTTAACAGCTTGTCAGGTATTAAGCAGTGCAAATTTTTAGCTAGAAGTCATGCTATCAGTTGGAAGTAAACAATAAGGCTACATATATTTAATTTTTAATAAATTTTGAGTTGTGCTATTCTTTTAATTACATTAATCAGGCAGGCTCCAACACTGCAAGCCTTAGGGCTTGAAGTGCAATTTCAGTGCTTTGTAATAAATTTGCCGAACTTTGGAAAAAGATGAAATGGCTTAATATTAAACATTTGCTTGATTTAAATTTTACTAACCCATGCACTTTATAATTCATATTTTTTTCAGTGCGAGGTACTGCCACGGGAGAATTATAATAGTAATTTTGAGTAAGCATTCCTTTTGCACGCAGGTTTTGCTTATAAACTAGGTGAATAGAGGGGCCTTGAGTATTGAGGGAATGCTAAAGATCTACAGAGCCTTTTACTTCAAGGTCATTGGTTCAAGTGCACATCATTAAAGACAGAAAGTTAACATCTGACTGCTGCTTTATAATACACATGAAATGAGTTAGCGGTGTCAGTGGAGACAAGGAAAACGTACAACCAGTTTAACAACAAGAAAGGAGGTAGGAGTAATGCACAGGTCCAAAAGAGAGGAGGAATCAGGAGATACCAAATTTACAAGGCTCCTGTCTTCCCCTGTGTGCAGTCCTAAAGGCTGTATTCATTCTTCAGTCTGGAAAGGTTAGAAAGGCTGTAGCCACTCGACTCGGTCTCATTTGATGTCATAAGCTTAATTTTGTTGAGCTGGGTAAATACTAGGTCGGAAAGGATACAAAGGAAATTTAAGTAGAGATGGTTTGATGATGAAGTAATAGTGAACCTGGTTTGGTGCTGCTAGGGCACTGCACATCAGGCTCCTTGAAAGAACATGCAAAACTGATATCCCGACCTCACATCATTACCTCAAGTATATAAATCACAAGCAGAACACTGTTGGCCGTGGCATCCTCATGAATGCCTTCCAAGTGCGTAATTACAGCCTGCCAATGTTAATTCACGAGTAAAGTTAATCGAATGAGGTACTCTCTTTTGATCAGTTGTGCAGCGGCATTGTGGTTTAAGGCATTTTTGAAGTAGTAGTTGCTTTTCAGTGATGTGATCCCTTTATGTGAGACCTCTAAGAAGATTAGGTGTGTTTAGAGGAAGGAATGTGTGTAACATGGCAATGATTTTTTATTAGCCATTTCTTATTTAGTTATTAAAATGAAGTAAATTGCTTGTCTACTGTTGTAAAAAGTGCATTATTTTTCCCTTTTGTTCTATGAACCACTGAGATTTTAAAGGATACTGTTGTGCAGCTGTCTTGTCTTTTCCTTAGGTCTTGTTATTGTCATTCGTTTTGAAATCTGGGCTGGGGCTGGACCCAGGGTGCCTTTGCTCAATGTACATGTTTTTTAGTGAAATAAATTATTTCAACCATTGTAAAAGAGGCCTATGACTTCTCCTCTCCATAGTGGCTTTAGTTATGAAAGTATACAAAAGTTGTTTGGCTTTTTTGTTGTTGGTGGTGGTTTTTTTTATAAAAAGCTTGACATTAAGTAGTTATTTTATTAATAAGCTCTCTTAAAAACATGAGTAAGAAGGGAAGTAAGATGAGAAAGACTAGACAAGGTGAAACTCAGCCTTGTAGACAAGGGGAGATATAAAACAGTTTGTGCAAAAAATGTAGAGATATGCAACCCGGGCTTGGTTTGGTTTCTTTTGCCCTTGAGCCCTTGTTACTCGTATATTTAAAGTTTTTATAGCTTTGGAAGAGGTTTTAGTCATAGGTTTTTTATGGTTTTAATATGTGTGTATGTTGAAAATAATTAGTTATATTTTATATTTAACATGAGATTTTATTTTTATTCTAAACACTTGTCTGGAGCAGAAAACATTTTTTGATAAACTCTTACCTGTCTGAGCTATGGGATTAATCTAATGTAGCAGTTGTTAATTTATAGGTGGTTTCACTTAATTGTAATGCGGAAATATCACTGGAAGATTTTGTAATAGAATTTATGACTGAAATTGTGGTTTATTTGTAAATAAGTATGTGATGCTCAATGAAAGGATCTCTGGAACTTTCCTGAATTTTTTATTCAATAACCTTATCCCACGTTTGTTTTTATGAGGAAAATGAAGTTGCAAGTATTTCACTGAAGAGGATGGATGTCTTTTTTGAGTTATGTCATAAGCTTCTTTATAAAAAATACATTCCAACCTCTAAGTATTCATACATTGCAAGAGTATTCTTTCTTTTCGTGGAATGTTTCATCTAAATTCACCTCATAATTTTATTTTTGACAGTGACAGTTTAAAACCTAATCAGGGTCAAAAAAAGGAAGGACTCAGAAGTCAAAAATTAGATATTTTTGCAGTAGTCCAGGGAAAACATGTATCAGTGCTCTTCCTGAAAGAAAACATGGTAATTAATTCTACACTTTGCACCTTGGTTTTTTTGCCTCCAAATTTGAATACAAAACTTTTTTGATATAAAAATTAATTAGAATTTAAAATTGTTGTCATGTCTGTAAGAAAATTACAGACTTGAAGTAATATATAAAAAAATACATTCTTCAGTCACAAGATACGGCAACCTGCAATATTTGGTTGGAGGATTTTTAGGGTCTGAAAGAAAAAATTGATCCAACAGAACTTTTACATTTCAAAATATTAGTGCATCAGCTTTATTGGAAAAAGCTGAAATTGTTCAAATGACCTCAGTAAAACAATTTGGACTACAATTCCCGGAATGCTCGTGAAGCTGACATGTCTACATGTTCTTAAAAAGTCATAATCCATCATTCTGATGCTAGATCGATGGATTATGACTTTCTGATGTCAGATCTGTGAATTAAGGCTTTTTTGAGTACAGCCTGCTATCCAATTATTGCCCCTATTCATATATTATAAATCATTATTCCTTCACCAGGTAGTCAGCAGTTTCTATTTCCTAACGTTTCAGAGCCTTCTTTTTTTAGCCATTGTGGTGCTCCCATTGAGCAATCAAAAACAGAGTGCTGACCTGAAAAATAAAGCTTCTATCACAGCAAATTGTTGAGAGAACAACATTCATTTCTAATTCTTGTAGTTTCTGTTGAAATAAAGGGAATTAGATTAGATTGAAACAAATCTCATCCCCTTCCTGCACAAACAAGCAATATAATAAATTAGCACAAAGTTGTTGGCATGTATTGACTTCATTTTTAAGTGCTCATGCCTGAGTTTCTTAGAATTGATGCTTTTTTCTGATAAGTTGATTTTTTTATATATATATGAGGACAGATCAGCTTCTGATTTAAAGCTGAAATTTACCAGCGTGCTACCTTAAGTGATTGTGTCTATTAGGTGCTGTTAAACTGAAGTTCCTGTGAATGAATAATTTATAGAGTAATAAACTTACTTCTAATGCAATGGAGTGTATGATAAAAGTAGAAAATGCTTTACTGTAACAGTTAAACTATCACACCAGTTTACGTATGTCAAAGCAAAATGCATCTTAAATAACTTTATTAAAAGATATTCAGAAAAAAAGCTATTTTAGAACCTATCATGCATCCAAAGAAGTCATTAAATGAAACGTAATCATGCTGTGTTGGAGAGTTATCTCAACAGATTTCTCAAGCTATGGGAATTTAAGTCTAGTCCATACGTGGATGGAAAAAATCAATAGGATGATCTTGGTGGTGGTGGTGGGTTTTTTTTTCATTTTGCTGTACTGATAGTTTTTCATTAGGATGCAGTTTTCACACTAGATGGCTGTGCATAAAATATGTCCAGTCAGTACATTGCTTGTGGAGTTGTTGTCAAAAAGGATGGTAATCGATGAAAGGGAGGGTGGTATAATGAATGCGGTAGAATTTGGCTTTTAATAACTATTTGTTCTAGTCCTGTTTCTGTCGTGACAGAGTTATCAGAGCATTGGCTTGTGCCTCAGTTTCTCCGTTATTTGAGCAGCCATGTGGATCTAAAATCTGTGTCCCAAGGACTGTTTCTGTGGCACTTTTCTGAAAAACAAATTTGCCTATCTCATGTTACTCGTGTTGCACTTCGGTCAAGGGTGTTATCTGAGACCACATGAGAAAGTTAACGCAGTATTTTGCATGTCCTGTCATTGAGTAGTCAGGGCCGGAGGGCTGATGCTTTAATATGCTGTAGTTCAATTCTTCTTAAAGGAAGACATTGTCTTGGCATATTCATCTTGTTCCTTATTGTTTCTTCCAGGAACTCTGGACGTTTAATGGCATCCTTGCTCTCACCTTCCTTTTCATGTTGTCTCTTTTACATTTTCGAATTTTTGCCATTAAGACTTCCAGGGTGCTGCAGTGTTGGAAAGAGCTGGTTTGTTGGGAGAGCACAGAAGTAGATATTTTGTGAATGTTTCTGGAGAAAACATGATTTCAAGGCCAAGTGCCAGCACAGTGATGGAACCACCAGTGGGGCTTCAGTACCTTTCTTGCTTTGGATAGATTTCCAGCGTGATACAGCTTTAGAGCCCGGTTCTGCTGATGGGGAGTCTAGCAAAGCTCTTTCTGCCATCCTCAGAAGTAGGCTCCGACCCATTTTCAAATGTCCTGTTAAATGCAGTTGCCCACTAGATGGAGACATGATATTTTATAGACGAGTAGATATACAGATGGTGATCAAACCCACCAGCTGCTGCCTGCTCTTTCTGGGCACCTTGCCAATTTACTGGCAGTATGTTGACTGGGAAGCAGACAGTGACACACTT